GGACCACGAGGAAAACTGAGGAAGAAGGTATCACCTTACAAACTGTTTGTCGTCCCGTTTAGAATATTTTCCTTTTTCTTTACCTATTTCATCTTAACTTGGGTTACAACCTTTTTCCTCAGACTCGCATTTTTGTTACCCATGGGGTTGGATTCCTTCCTCAAGTGGACCAAATCATTGTTCTGCAAGATGGTAGAATATCAGAGGTATGTTAGTGTGAGCTGTGAGTATACACTGTTTATGATGCTACACCACAGGACTCCCAAGCTCTTACGGTCAGCTTTGTTATACGACATTGCGAACAATGTTAGGTTAAATAGAATAGTTCGTATGGGAATATTACGAAAGAAAAAAGCAGCAAGAAATATGGAAAAACGAGCACAGTAAAAACGCTTTTCCTCGCGTCCTTTGTGTATTTCTTTTGAAACTGTGGAGGATTAGGTCATTTTAAAGCATTTTCAACGTTTTAGCTTCATTGGTTTCCTCTCTGAAGGTTTGACTGATTAAACAAAGACAGAGATCTCATTAGGGACCAGGCATTTGGCAAATTGACCGGCTGTGAGAACGACTTTGCCTGCCTGGTGTGGAGGAAGACTCTTCTTATAAAGAAATTCAGGTCAAAACGTTTCTGTCAGTCTGTGAAAACCAATTGCCTTCCTCCTGAAAACGTTAATCAGACCCCTGATTGAAGGGTTTATTAAAAAAAAAAGAAAAAAGAAAGAAAAAAGAAAGAGAGAGAGAAAATGATTGACTAATCTTTTGTTCGAGCCAGAGTAAAGCTCGGGTAACAATGAGCTTTCGGTATTAACGGCGTGGGCGTAAGGCAGAGTTCCATTGCTATAAATAAACAATAGCCTCCATTTGGCGCGAAAATGTATAAACAATAGCCTCCATTTGGCGCGAAAATCTGCTCGGATATTTGCCCGCGGACATTTTTTGTTCCGAGAAGCGAACAGTTTTCCGAGAGCGAAGCTGGAGGAAAACTGTGAGCTTCGAGGAACAGATAATGTCCAAGGACAAATATCCGAGCATATTTTCAAAGTCAAATGGAGGCTATTGCGTTTATTATCCTTCAAATATTTTTCGCAACACGCGCAGTTCCGAAAATTCTCGGATATTCCCCAGTTTTAGCTGGGGAGTATACGGTCACGTGACGCGTTTAGACCAATCGCGCGCGAGCGTAAATACTTGATGGATGTTAAGCTCGGATATTTGTCCGCAGACATTATCTGTTCCGAGAAGGGAACAGATTTCCGAGAGCGTGATTTAACTGTGAACTTCGAGGAACCAAAACTGTCCAAGGACAAATATCCGAGCATATTTTCACG